ATTTTTTAGCCACAGGAATCTTCTAGCTACCACATTGGAAGCCATAGCCCGGGCTGAATGTTTGGCTGAATACAGAGAGGCATCGGCCATATATTCGGATGTGGCAAGTATTTTTGTTAGATCCTGATGCATTCTAGTTTCCTCAAGTGGGATTCTATCCTGCAGCTGACGCAGCCAGGTGATAGAGATTCTTGCAAAGAAGGAAGTGGCCGTCGCTGCCTTCACAGCCCAGGCAGATGCCAAGTGCGCTTTGCGTAAGGCCATTTCAGATTTTTTATCCTCTGCCTTAAGGGCATCGGATACATCAGCTGGAAGGCTGGCAGTGGAGAAAAGCGGTGCCAACGATTCATCCACTTTTGGGACCTCTAGTAGGTCTCCGAATGCCTTAGGCATGTCTACCATTTTGCGCTCAGACGCGCTTTGAGATGGCTGGGCTGCTGGTGATTCCCACTGATCCTGCACATTTTGGAAGAACAGCTGTGGACAAGGGATATGGAGGTGCGTGTCTACAGGCACAGCAAACAAAGGATTGGTTTCCTGATCGGAGGAAGGCTGAGGGGTTGGTACCGACTGAGGGGAAAGCTTACTTGCCTCGCACGCTCTGCGTAACAAAGCTGGAAATAGCGAAGCATTAAAAAGCTCCGCCATGGGTTGGGATTCGTAAGATGGTTCCTCACAATCCGACCAACCATCCTTGCCTCCCCCGTAATCTGAAACATCCGGGTCCGAATCAGGGGATTGAGAGGGAGAGACCATACCTGACTGATCCAGTGGAGGCCTCACGGCAGTTGTTGGTGCCGAAGAAGAGGATGGTCCTGGAACGGAGGGGGCTTGTTGATGACTCGCTGATGCCATAGCTTGGCACACTGCCTGTGATATCCACATTTGGAGCTGGTCGGAGACGGACTGCTCTAGCGGAAGCCTTAACCCCGCAGCAGGTAGTGTGCTGGCAGCAGTGGGTGATGCAGATGAACCTGGCAAGGCAAAGTTCTCCCCAAACACGGGTGGGCCTACCTGACCAAGAGTCTGAGTTGGGACCTGTTGATACCCCGTCTCCGGCGACCATACTCTGGATGTGGATGGTTGAGGCTCTCCCCTGTCGGGTGGTACGGAGGTTGGCAATGTGAGACCTCCTTCAGCAGACAAGCGTTGGGCCCGGGAGAATTGCTTCTCCAGAGCTCTGTGGGTGCGTTCAGCCAGTTTGTCGCTCGCCGTGCCAGCTTTCCTGCCGTGCTTAGACTTGGATCTCGCCTTACCTGATGGAGGCTCGGGTGTCGGCTCAGTTGAGGCGGGAATGACGTCCATGTCCAAGGAACGTGGCTCAGAAGGGTCTGCCATTTCCATCGAAATCAACCCAAGGTTGCCTTTGGCCTGATTCGTTCTGCAAGGGACGTCAGACGCCCCCGCGGGGGACTGACCTACGTGGATTGGGTGGAGAAGAATCACACGTGTCCCACAGTAGTGACGATGGTCAGGATGCTGGAACAGCCACCAGATGCAGAAGGGCAGACAGGCAATATGGCGACCAGGCTGAAGAACCAGAGCTGCTGTTGGTACCACACTCTTGCTCACAGGTGCATGGATCAGGAGATGGCTGAAACTGAGACTCAGATGAAGGAGCCAGCACTTTTGTTAATCAATCTAGTTTAATACAATTAACATTTGTAGTTCACCCCCGTTATTGCATTCAATTTAGATTTATTTATTTATTATTTATTTATTTTATTTTATTTTTTATTCATTTTATTTATTTATGTATTGTTTATTTATTTTATTATTATTATTTTTAATTCAAAATGGCGACTGCCAGGGGGAATGAGCCTCCAAATGGTGGGCTCTGTCAACGTTCCCTTGGAGGGAATACCAGGAGGGAGGGGGGTAAAGGAGGGGTGTGTGTGAGGGATTAATGCTGCAGTGCAAGGGGCCAGTGACTGCCACAAACGAGGCTAATTGGAATCTGCTTTGGCCCGAGAAGCAGGGGTTTGTGCCTAACAGCCGTTAGGTGCAAAAAAGCTTTATTGCTGCCGCACGAGGCTCCTAATGCTTCCACAGTGGCTTTAGGTGATTGTAAGGCCACCGTTGGGCTTTCCTTTGTTGCAGCAGTAAAAAGGTGTTTAGAAGTGAGATTAGGCCTTTTGAAATTCAAATGGCTGCTGCTAAGAGTCCCTAGCCGAGCCCGGCTAGGGAGAAGCCACGAGGCTGCAAAACTGAAAGCAGCAAGGAAAGGAACCAACTGAGATCTTTTTTTTTTTTTAACAACACCTTTGAAATGGGTATAGGTTAAACCTCCCCCCCCCACACTATATAGGGTGAGGTTTGTTTGCTGATTCAGCAGGATACTGAATCTGGGGAAGTGAAAAACCCACCCCCCCTTTCCTTAGAAAGTTTTAACCTAACCCTGAGGAGGGGAATGCAGCAAATCCTTACAGAGGAGAAAACAAAACTCTCAACTAAGCTGTTAAACTCTTTTAAAGAATCCACCAATGAGTAAATTTTCTATCAGACCTGCTCCAACGTAGAGAGAGTCAAGAAATCACGTCTGTAATGGGCGAAGACCAAGAAGAAAACTGGGAGGTCCCCAGATAATGAGGAGGCGTGACAACTTGACAACTTGGTCTGATTGGGCAATAGGACTAAGATAACCCATTGGTGGATTCTTCTTAATCATGCTGAGAAGAAATCAATCCGGTTGCTGCACAATGAGTCTCTGGGGAAGGCGGGGCCTTGCTCTGCGCCTGCGCTCTTCATGCGTCCCTGCAGGGCACATTTGGTAGAGTTTGTGCAGACTGCTGCCAAGCAGCATATTTTCCACAAACAAGTGAGGTGGAGCGGAGGGGGGGGAGGGAGGCACTGCCACGGGGGGGGGGGAGAGAAGGCAGTTGACAAGCCCTGCCTAAGACCATCGGAAATGTGTGTTTTCCGATGGTCTTAGGTGATCCCTGTGAAAGGCTCGTGCAACCCCTCCCAAAAGGATCACGACCCATAGGTTGAGAACCGCTGCCCTATACCATTTCAGATAGGTACCTAAGGCGTTTGCAAGATATTTTCACTTATTGCATGCTATCAAATAGTCTTTGACTTTAAGCAACCGACCTTTGCAACTGAATCAAGTGAAATAATAAACTGCGATGCGACTTAGCTTGTGATCAGCCATATGGTGAACCCTAAAAATTCATGACCTTTTTACAGAATTACAGAATAATAAGTTTCTTTAAACTCACATATTTTATTGATGTTTTTAATCATAAATCACTTAGCAGTTGGTAAACAGTGTGTTTGCTGGGTTTCCATTTGTAAAGAAAAATCATTAATTGGTTTCTATAATCCTTAATCCACATAGTACATTTAGTTGATTTCCCCTTTTCCCCAAAATGTCTTCTTTGAGAACCTTGAATTGATACAGTTCTTACTATTTTGATAAGTAACAGTTACATATATGATTTCCCCCCAATATTCTTAGAAATAATGATCACATCAATATAATATTTCTTTTCTATCTAATCATCTTATATCCTGTTACAGTCCTTATTTAAATTTGTTTCTCCCATAAAGTTCAAAGTATTCTTGCTCGTTAAGATCTTCTCAACAGTTAATTACATTTAAAGATTTAAATCCATTTTTCCCACATAAACCATCTCCATAATTTTATGTTTCTTAAAGAATAGGTAAAAACATTAAACAAAAGGAAAAGAGAGTAAGAGTAAAGAAACATAAAAAGTAAAATATTACTTAAAATATATATTCCCCCTAAGCTAATATATATTCATTCCCAAAATATATTTAATTTTTAAATATTCCATTTAATGTGTCTAGTCATCTGATCCTTTAACTCTTATTCAAACATTTTTTCTTTTTTATACATTATAATTTCCCTAAATTCAAACCCATTTAATTATCTAAAACATTTCCTTCATCTAAGCCATTTCAACAGTATTATGTTACTTATATCAGGAAATAAAATAAAAAGGGGGTGAAAGCATACAGTATTATTTAACGAATTCATCTCTCTTAGAATGACATATGTGTTCAAAATCTTTTCTACTTCTTTAATCATATTCAAACAAATGTTTCTTTTTAAAATATTCTCTCTGGTAGATGCCATCATCTATTTTCTTAATTTTCACTTTAATCTTTTTCCTTTGACCAGTATGTTTCTTGATCAATGTATTTTGCTGAATCAAAAAGTTTTCCCATATATTCATGACTGTTGCTGTAGGTATAAGAAGTAAATCAAATAAAGTGTCTTTATATGAGGCTTTTGCCTTTCTATGTTTCTTGAAAATCTTTTTCTTCTTCTCTGCTTCTCTTATCACTTCCTTTCTCTCTGATGTTTTCAACATCTCTACATTCCATTTTATCCAATCTGTTTTTTTGTCCTCAGATTTATTTTGTAGTCTTAGGGGATGAGTTGTTTTTTTCCATTTCTTGTGAATTTTTCCCCACTAGGATTAAATCATGTTTTCTTGCCTTGTTAAGTTCCATCTTTAAGTCTCTATTTTCAATTTTATATCCACTTATTTGTTTTGTCTGCTCCTTCTCTGTTGTTTTTTCCTGGAAGTTTTTTTGTTGTAGAGTTAACTTAGAAATAGATAAATTTATATTTTCAATTTGATTTTGGATTTCGTTGTGATTTGAATTCATTGTTGTTTGAATTAATTGCAATATATATCTCCTTCTGAGAGGTATTTATGTTTTCTTGATGTGTTCTATCTACATTTCTCTGAAATCCAGAAGTGCATCAGAATGTAAGTACCAAAACCCCTTTTTCCCTTTTACCCCTTTCCTTTTTCTCACTTTTGGGTTCTGCCATTCAATGGGGGGGGAGGAAGGGGACCTATGGATGTCTTGCCATGTATTTCCTTTGGTTTTTTTCTTTACTCTTTGAAATATCTCTCGCTTGGAGTGAGAATGGAATGTGTATTGAAACATTTTTAACTATCAGGACATTCAAATGGTTTCTCTCCTCTGGTGTTTTACCAGGTTGGAATTGTTACTGAAACCTTTACCACAATAAGAACATTCAAATGGTTTCTCTCCTGTGTGAATCCTCTGGTGTCTTACCAGGTTGGAATTCTGACTGAAACCTTTACCACAATAAGAACATTCAAATGGTTTCTCTCCAGTGTGAGTCCTCTGGTGTTTTACCAGGTTGGAATTCCTACTGAAACCTTTACCACAATCAGGACATTCAAAGGGTTTCTCTCCTGTGTGAGTCCTCTGGTGTATTACCAGGTTGGAATTCTGACTGAAACCTTTACCACAATCAGGACATTCAAAGGGTTTCTCTCCTGTGTGAGTCCTCCGGTGTGTTACCAGGCTGGAATTCTGACTGAAACCTTTACCACAATAAGAACATTCAAATGGTTTCTCTCCTGTGTGAATCCTCTGGTGTCTTACCAGGGTGGAATTGTCACTGAAACCTTTACCACAATCAGGACATTCAAAGGGTCTCTCTCCTGTGTGAGTCCTCTGGTGTGTTCCCAGGCTGGAATTGTCACTGAAACCTTTACCACAATCAGGACATTCAAAGGGTTTCTCTCCTGTGTGAGTCCTTTGGTGTGTTACCAGGGTGGAATTCTGACTGAAACCTTTACCACAATCAGGACATTCAAAGGGTTTCTCTCCTGTGTGAGTCCTCTGGTGTGTTACCAGGCTGGAATTCTGACTGAAACCTTTACCACAATAAGGACATTCAAATGGTTTCTCTCCTGTGTGAATCCTCTGGTGTCTTACCAGGGTGGAATTGTCACTGAAGCCTTTACCACAATCAGGACATTCAAAGGGTTTCTCTCCTGTGTGAGTCCTCTGGTGTGTTACCAGGCTGGAATTGTCACTGAAACCTTTACCACAATAAGGACATTCAAAGAGTTTCTCTCCTGTGTGAGTCCTCTGGTGTCTTACCAGGGTGGAATTGTCACTGAAACCTTTACCACAATCAGGACATTCAAAGGGTTTCTCTCCTGTGTGAGTCCTCTGGTGTGTTACCAGGGTGGAATTCTGACTGAAACCTTTACCACAATAAGGACATTCAAATGGTTTCTCTCCTGTGTGAATCCTCTGGTGTCTTACCAGGGTGGAATTGTCACTGAAACCTTTACCACAATCAGGACATTCAAAGGGTTTCTCTCCTGTGTGAGTCCTCTGGTGTGTTACCAGGCTGGAATTGTCACTGAAACCTTTACCACAATAAGGACATTCAAAGAGTTTCTCTCCTGTGTGAGTCCTCTGGTGTCTCACCAGGCTGGAATTGGTACTGAAACCTTTACCACAATCAGGACATTCAAAGGGTTTCTCTCCTGTGTGAATCCTCTGGTGTGTTACCAGGCTGGAATTGTCACTGAAATCTTTACCACAATCAGGACATTCAAAGGGTTTCTCTCCTGTGTGAATCCTCTGGTGTGTTACCAGGTTGTAATTGTCACGGAAACCTTTACCACAATCAGGGCATTCAAAGGGTTTCTCTCCTGTGTGAGTCCTCTGGTGTGTTACCAGGGTGGAATTCTGACTGAAACCTTTACCACAATAAGAACATTCAAATGGTTTCTCTCCTGTGTGAATCCTCTGGTGTCTTACCAGGGTGGAATTGTCACTGAAACCTTTACCACAATCAGGACATTCAAAGGGTTTCTCTCCTGTGTGAGTCCTCTGGTGTGTTACCAGGGTGGAATTCTGACTGAAACCTTTACCACAATCAGGACATTCAAAGGGTTTCTCTCCTGTGTGAGTCCTCTGGTGTGTTACCAGGGTGGAATTCTGACTGAAACCTTTACCACAATCAGGACATTCAAAGGGTTTCTCTCCTGTGTGAGTCCTCTGGTGTGTTACCAGGCTGGAATTGTCACTGAAACCTTTACCACAATAAGGACATTCAAAGAGTTTCTCTCCTGTGTGAGTCCTCTGCTGTCTCATGACGTGGGAATTTTAAATGAAACTTTCACATTATTCGGGCACTCATACGTGGTGTCAGTCCTCTGATGTCTCACCACATTGCCATGCTCAATAGAGCATTTACCACATTTGGAGAAATTTTATGGCTTCTCTCCTGTATAGGTCCTCTCATGCGTAATCAGCTGTGATTTGCAAGTTGTATCTTTCCCACAATAAGCACATCTATGCAGCTTTTCCACCACTTATATCTTTGAGGATGTCAAAAACATGTGTGATCCCTTTTTTAATATTTTTTTTTAAATTAAACTGTTTTTTTCCTCCCAGAGCACGGCTTGCATCACTGTCTGCCCTAGGTGGCTCTCCAAGTGACTTTTTCCTATCCAGTGACGTCCAGATATTTCCCTCTTTTACTGAATAAAGAATAATCTCCCTTGACTTTTCATGTAATGCATCCTTGAGTTCCATATGCTCTACTTATTCCAGGTTGAAATCTTTCTTAATTTTCTCTCTTTTGTCTATCAGCTGCTGGAGAAGGAGAATGGTGTGGCTTTCTGAAGGAAATGCAAAATATTTATTATTCTTATTCTCAGTTGTCCAGAGTGCTCTTATTGCCATCCTCTTTGCCTATAGCATTTAAAGAAAAGTGCAATGTTAATTGTTTATAAAATTGATGTAGAAAATATGAAAAGAAGAAAAAACTATACATTAAAATAAAAAGCAAACATACCACAATGTTAGAATAACCTCTTACATGAATCATGATTCATTTGACACATGGAAGACTACTAAGGTCCAAATTCAAATACAATTGTCAATTGTGCCTTCCGCTCGATCCACAGGTGAGGAAAGCAGAGCAATGGGAGGCACAGAGAAGCTCAGCAGCAGCCCCACCCATCCTCAAAATGAACAACTGGGGAAGGATAATTTAACCAGATGCTGGGTGAAGATGTGTTTGTCGGGAACACCTGCTTTTTTTGATGTGCACCTTCCCAGCTTTGCCAGATCCCATCGCTTGAACTTTGGACTGTGTTTTTCAACTCAGAACATTAGATGTTTCCTGCGGACTTTGGATTTGACTTAATCACCATCAGATGGATTTGTAATTGGCTGACAAACCGCACCCAATGGTTAGTCTTTAATGGAACTACATCTATATGGAGCACTATAAACAGTGGGGTACCCCAAGGCTCTATCTTAGGTCCACTATTCTTCAATATTTTCATAAACAATTTAGATGAAGGAATAGAAGGGGAACTTATTAAATTTGGAGATGACACTAAGCTGGCAGAAATAGCCAACACCCAGAAGACAAGCTCAAAATACAGAAGAATCTTGATATATTTGAACTCTGGGACCTTATCTAAAAAATTAAAATTCAATGGAGAAAAGGACTTCCAGTTTGCCCACGCAGCTGCTGCGGACGTTTTGAAGGCGAGCTCACCTTGCATGTCCAATTTCTCATTGCTGGGGGACCCTGGAAAGGGTCGAAAGTCACCCTGTAGGGGCGACCAGCAAGGAGGAGATTCTTGCTGGATCACGGGAGAGTGGTATCTCTTCCCCTTGATCCGGGGGGGGGGGGAAACCAGCGGATGAAAGACCGGCCACAGCAATATGGCTCGTCACTAGGCTGCAGACAGCTGAAGTCACACTTATCACCAGGCTCCTACAAAGCAGTGCGGAAAAGACTGGGTGAGATCTGAACCTCTCTTCAATCCTAATTATTTTTTCCACCTGCATAAGCTGCCCAAAGTATTTTCCCCCCTGTAGCAAGGGAAGGGAGACTTTATCCTACTCTCTAATAGCGGTGACTAACTATCCAGAGGAGCTTTCAAACATTAAAAGAAAAACCTGATTCCTTATTTTTATTGAAGATTTGGGGCTTTCTCTACAAAAAAGTAGTAAAATCGCGAAAAGGATTATAAAATTTGGACTAAATAAAAAAAAGAGAAAAACAAATCCTAAATGGTATGGGTGACACCTTGCAGCTAAACCTGATCTTACAATCTGTTATTGCCTAACAGAGACTTGGCTTGCAGCCCAGACGATAAATAAGACTTCTGTAACCTTGGTAGATATCAGCTGTGAGAAGCCCAGCTGTGCTTCATACTCTGTGAAAAAATTACTCTTATTTTTTTATTGTAAAGCTTTTAATTTAATACACTATTAAGAAAATATGGCTGAAGATCACGAACAGATTCTTTTTATGATGAAACCAATTCTTAAAACTATTATTACAACTACTGATGAAATAAGAGGCTACAAAGAACAAGATGTCAACCTAGATATACAAATGCAAACCTTGACTACAACTAAAGAACCAAGTACACAGAATATAACAGAAGAAGTGGAACAATGAAATACTATTACAGAAGATTTAAATGATCAACAAATTGAGTTAGCGGAAAACCCAGAAAAGAGACTCACAATATTGAAAATGGACAAGACTTTCTAACAAATCAGAAGAAGTCCGAAGACGAAGAAGAACAACAGACTGAAGAGAAGATAAATATTTCAGAACAACTACGTTGAGACGGAAAAAGAGAGAGACGATGTGTTAGCACTTCCAAAAAAATGGCAATTGGATGCCATCTTTTATTTCAAATAATACGTATAATAACAGAGGGAGATCCATTTGATGATTTAAAAGCACAGAGATGGAAGGCGAGTTGGCAAAGAAAGAAAGCTAGAATAAGGCTGAAGAAAATTGGTATTTTGACTTATCAGTGAAGATTAAAAGAAAATATACTCAAATAGATAAGATGCATACTTTGAATACTAAACTTTATTATGAACTGAGATAAGAAAATTTTGATTACTTAAAGTATAAATATTAAAAGTTAAAACTGAATATTGATCTGTCTACAAAGAATTTTACTTAGCTGATATAATAAGAATTGTATCAGTCTGACTTCTGGTTTTGATCGCGGCACAGGCGGATATGCAGGACGATTGTTCTCCATGCTGTCTGGTTTTTACCACTGGGAGACCCTGAAAAGGATCAAAAGTCGCCCTGGAGGGGCGACAAGCGTGAAGAGGCAACCCTCCTGTTTGATCCAAGGCAGCTCTTCTAACTGACGGGGAAAAGATTGGCCATTTATGGCTTATGACTAAGCCGTTACCAGCCGAGGTCAAAATTACAAACAAGCACTTTGAAAGCAACACAGAGGAATTTGGTGAGATTCTACCTTCTCTTTACCCCAAGTAACTCTCCTATTAAAACTTTTGGAAATTCTTCCCCCCACACTCTAAAATGGCAGTGTTTGACTACCTGAGAAAACAAAGCATTGAAAAGAATAACTAAATATAATTGGATTTACATTTTTTTTTTAATCTGGGGATCCAAAAAGTTCCTATTCTTACTGGGACCTGCTATTTTATTTCCTTGTAAAAAAGAAGAAAAAAAGAAGAACTTAAATTGGATAAAAACCTAGCCCGGGATTTAAAAGACTTTAAATGCTACTGGGGATATCTGCTGGCGAAGCTTGGTACAGCAATCTATTATTTTTATTATTCTTGACAAGTTACTTGCTCACAGCCCAGATATGACCTTGGCAGTATCTCAGAGAGATTATAAGCTGAAAGAGAGGCTGGACAGTGAAATAGTTTTTTAGGAACTGTGGAGGTGAACACTTACTGACTCTTGTTTAATAAATAGCCTTCACTAAAGGACCATCTATAACTATGTCAGAAATGGAGGACAACCAGCAACATATGTTGCTTGATTACAAACTTATACTTGAAAAAAATCTTGAAGCCACCGAGATAATCAAATTTAAACTGAAAGACCAAGGTACCAGCTTAAATCTACAAAGCGAAACCCTGACTGCAACTAAAGAATCTACAACCCAAAAGACAACAGAAGCAGAAGAAAGTAATATCAAGACAGAGGGCTTTGAAGATCAACAAATACAGCTTACTGAAAACTTAGACAATGAAATAATAACTACAAAATTGGACATGACTTTCTACTTAAACCAGAAGAAACCTGAGGAAGAAGAAGACCAGATTGAATTGAAGACAACTATACTAGAGCAAATATGGGGATCTGAGCCACTAGGGTGACAGCTTAATGATTATCAATGGACCAATCCCTCCAGAAAATTGACAACTAGATGGTCTCCTTTAATTCAAGTAACATGTACATGAATGAAGAGAGTTCTATCTGATGATCTAAAAGCATTGGTATGGAAGCCTGGTTGGCATAAAAAGAAAGCTAGAGTTAGGTTTTAAAAAAATGGGGTCATTTGATCTATTAGAGAGGATCCTAAAGTCTTAACTAATGGGCTGAAGGGAGATTTTAAGATGGGGGAAATTTGATTATTAGATTTAAAAATTGCTGGAAAATAATAGAAAATAAGGGAATAATTGATGTAATATTGAGGACTTAGACTTAAAAGGGAAATGAAAAATGAAAACTATCAGGAAATAATTTTGAATTATTACTTAGCCCAGACAATATACTGTAGATGATGGACTTGGGATAACAAAGGATACTCCAATATTAAGAGGTGATGTATTAGGATGAGAAATAGAAAATGTTTGTGAATTAAAATAAGAATATATTTAAGTAAGTAATATATGTATTTTGGATATTATAACTTTTATGTAGTGAGACAAAGGAAATTTGGGTTACCCGAAACTTAAATACTATGGATATTAAAGGTTAAATTGGAGTAGTGTAATTAAAAACTAAAAACTAGGTAAAACTTAAAAACAGGATATGGATATGTATAAGCTAAAATGTATTGATAAATGTGATAATGAAGTTATAACTGACTTTGATACAATTAGAAATTTATTAGCTTAAATATGATATAGCAAATGTTAAGGGAAACAGAGAAGAAATATTTGATGATGTAACCTGAGATATGTACTAAAGATTTTGTTATTGAACTATTGACCAACCCAATCTCCATGTTGCTTTCCAAATACTTAAATGTAAAACTGGAAAACCAATAAA